GCAGAGACCAGGATGGAAATTTCTCCATATAAACAATCACAAGCAGGCCAGCCCAGTTTCCAGGATGAAAGTTCAACGATACTGCTGCAAGCTATTTTTAACAACTGTCAAAACAATGTCAAAACAACAAAATTGTCCCGGTAAGCGGGACGAAATTTTCTCAAATAAACACAAGAGAAATCATCCTGCTTATCTACCTTACCAGGCTGTCTTGCTAAGCGGGCAGCCCGGCTTCCATACAAACAGGCCCTAACAGTCTCTGTCAGGCAATTACAATGTTCTAATGTGCAAATTCTAAAGTATTACAAACTAGAAAATACATGCATGCAGAAGTACCCTCGCTTTGCTGACAAAACCATTGTATTTTCCGAACATGAAATATCTAAAGTAGTTGCCATGGTAATTTAAAACAAACTTACCTTCGTTAACGTCGGATCCCTTCTTTTAGCCGATTCTTTCGCCATTTCTTTCTTGAAATTTACAAAATCTTGCAAAAATGCGAGCAAAAAATGAAATATATTTGCAAGCCATGAAATTTATCAATCATCAAATAATGAAATATTAAAAGAAATGTTTGCTTACTTTGCTATTTCGCTGTCGTCATGCAGTCGTTAATAATGCAAACTTTAAATTGGACCAATCACAGTGTTTGCTATTCATGACAGTCCGCCATATTTTTGAGATCAGTGAGGATGACCACCCACGGTTGGTGACCCACGCCCGCGATATTTGATGAACTTTAGACTTCGCTAATGCTTTCGTTTCCCCTGGTGTAAATAGCCGGGGGGGGGGATTAGTACCCTCGCACGGCGCTTCGCGCCGTCGGCTCGGGGACAAGCAGGACAGACCAATTATTGCAAGTTCAGCTAGTATTGAAGTCATATCAACATGTGATATCGACATTACAGTGTATAAACTAAAGTAATTCAGCTTCTACACATGAAGCAACTTTAAACACTATCCTTACACTTTATCAATTCATTGAAGTTTGTACTTAAAAGTCATTCTATTTGTAGTATTAAATCACAAGACATATTCTATTTGTCAGTATCAAGTCACATCAGGATTTTATAATCTAGCGTTTTTGGATCCAAGTGATCTAGAGTTCTATCTTGTTAAAACCTATCCAAGGAAAAACAAGAAAGGGATATTGAAGTAATGGTGTTTTTGAGCCAAATAAATTCGAATATCAACCAGTATAAAAGCAGTACTTCGTATATACCGGAGACAATTTGGCATCATAGCGAACACATTTTAATGATGCTCAAATTTATATTTAGTGCGCTATTTTTTTAAAAATATGACCCTGTTTGCTTTCTAAATACAACAAAATTACTGCTTTACCTTCTGTTCGAATAGTTCCACAGATAAATCGAAGCCACATTTCGTATTACTTGAAAAAAAGCTGTTTTTACTGTAGGAATGACAACTTCCCAATATAATTTTCTATTGTCAACATTGCATTACACTTGTTTAGCTCGCGCATGCGCAATAAAAAAGATGGGACATGTTTCCACTCGAGTGAGACTTCTGGTATTATCTCTTCTGTGACTATACTGATGAGGCCCGTAAGGCCGAAACGGTACCGTCTGTAGTTAGATATCGCTCTATGGCCTTTAGGTCATATTGAGCTCTCTACAGGATGAGCCATTGCCGCTTACGTATTGCGCACGCTCTCTGCTTGCAGTTTGAGCGCTCTGGCATGGTTTTGATGTCCCACCATCGGGAGGCATCAAAGGTAACTGTAAATAGCAGTTACTTTCATCCTGCCCATCAGTGACTATACTGATGAGGCCCGTAAGGCCGAAACGGTACCGTCTGTAGTTAGATATCGCTCTATGGCCTTTAGGTCATATTGAGCTCTCTACAGGATGAGCCATTGCCGCTTACGTATTGCGCACGCTCTCTGCTTGCAGTTTGAGCGCTCTGGCATGGTTTTGATGTCCCACCATCGGGAGGCATCAAAGGTAACTGTAAATAGCAGTTACTTTCATCCTGCCCATCAGCACTACACTGATGACGCCCGTAAGGCCGAAACGGTACCGTCTGTAGTTAGATATCGCTCCATGGCCTTTAGGTCATATTGAGCGCTCTACAGGATGAGCCATTGCCGCTTACGCATTGCGCAAGCTAACTGCTTGCAGTTTGGGCGCTCTGGCAAGGTTTTGATGTCCCACAATCGTGAGGCGATATCGCTCCATGGCCTTTAGGTCATATTGAGCGCTCTACAGGATGAGCCATTGCCGCTTACGCATTGCGCAAGCTAACTGCTTGCAGTTTGGTATATATATATATATATATATATATACTTGCGTCGGTTTTCTTTGATCGTCCGAGGTTTATAACTAGCTTATAGACCTTGAATAAATGATTGGATTAAACTTGTAGACAAAACGCGAGAAATTTTCATTAAAAATTTTTGAAAATGACAAAATATGTTGGAAAACCTCCGCAAGTGTGATATAAGTTAGTTATAAACCGAGTAAGTCGGTTTATAACT